CGAACTGCCCCCCCCCCCCCCCCCCCCCAGCACTGCCCAGAACACATGGCCCAATGCTCCAGCAGCAATTTAAAGGGAACAGAGCTCCAACCACTGCTGCTGCTGCTACTGAATTGCTGGACCCTGGAGCAATAGTCCCCCACAGCCGCCCCCCATCAGCAGGCCTGCTCTGGCTGCTACACATAGGGGCATCCAGGGGACTATGCACGCTGCCGCCACCCCAAGTGCTGGCTCTGTAGCTCTCACTGGCTGAGAACCACAGCCAAAAAGACCTGCAGGGCAGCGCCTCTGGACAGGGCACACACAGCTGTCTCGCCATACCTCAATGTAGAAACGAGTCAGGGACAGACAGCTGCTTCTGGGAGCTGCCCTAGGTAAACACTGTCCAGAGTCTGCACCCCTGGCCTCCTCCCACTCCAAGCCCTTATCCCAGCCCTGATCCCTCTCCCACTTTCCAAACCCTTCGATCCCAATATAAAACACCCTGTGCACCCAAATCCCTCATCCCCTCCCCAAAACCCACACGCTCCCTCCCCATCCTTGATCCTCCTCCTGCCCTCTGAACTGCTAGGTCCTAGAGCAACTCCTGCACCCCAAATCTCAAGCCTGAGCCCTCACCCCCTCCCACATCTCAATCTCCTGCCCAAGTCCAGATCCCATTCCCACACCCTGAACTCCTCGTTTCTGGCCCCAACACAGATCCCTCACCCCCACCTCCACCCTTGTGCATCAACCCCTAATTCTGTGAGCATTTGTGGTCCATCATATACTTTCCATAACAAGATGTGACCCTCAGGCCAAGAAGTTTGCCCAACCCTGGTCTAAACTATAAATTGGGCACTGAAGACAAATGTCAATGCAGGCAGGGGTTAGAGCTTGTCTGCACTTGAAATGCTACAATGTAGACTCTACCTACACCAACAGGAGGGGTCCCATCAGCATAGGTATTATCTCCCTGAGGTGGTAGCTAGGCTGATGAAAAACTTCTGAAGACCTAGAACTGTCTAAACTGGAGTGTAGGTCAGCTTAACTACTTCATTTAGTGAGGTGAATTTTTTGCACCTCTGGGCAAAAAAGGTTAAGATGTCAATTTCCCAACATAGACCAGACCAAGGCAAGCAGAGATACTTCTTCGGTGAAGCGGAAGGGTACATTTCTATAGGGTTCGTACCTTGCAGAAGAAACATGAGAACAAATAACTGAATAAATACCATTGTATAGAGCTGTCTGTTCCCAACAATTCTTTTAGGAAAAAAATAATAGGCAAGCCTCAGATCCAAAGCCCGATTAAGTCAATGAAAGTTCTGAAGCTGCTACATATGAATGATCAGCCAATGAGAATGTGTTGTGCTGGTGTGATGCTTCACATTAGCTGTTTCATTGGTTGCATATGATGTTCCTGGATAAGCAGCTGAGGAATTTTAGATCTGAAGTTCTACGTCATGAAGATCAGTTTAAGTTCTTATGAAAAATCAGTTACTTCACTTTCTGTTTTGCTTCCAGACAATTAAGGTCAAATTCCCCCATGCCACGTGTGAATTCAGTAGAGCTGAATTTGGCCTTTAATTGTCATGGTTTCAAGCACAACATGGGGTAATACATTGCAATGTATTTTTTTCAAACTGGCACTTGAAATAACTGTTTTTTAGTTTCAGATTCCAGCTCTATAAACCAAATGTGGATATCTTATCAATGAAGCTGAGCAAGGGGGTGGGGGGGGGCATTGATTAAGAAATCAATTATTTGGGACAATTTTGTGGCTCAACTTAGTACAAATCAGAACTTTTGACATTCTCTGAAATTTAAAAAACTAAACATATTCTAAGTAGTGCTGACAAAACCAGGATATGGACTTCATGTGCCTCCATTTTGGTTTGCCCATGGGAGCAATTGCTTCCATGGGAGAATTTCTAGGGGCTATTGTATTGCTCACCTTAAATCAGTGCCCCTTGTGGAAGTGATCTGATGTATCTATTTAAATTAGCAAAGTCTGACTTTTCAAATTTGACCCATAATCCTTGTTATAAGGTGACACCCACCTCTCACATGCACATGTGCCTGCCATCGCTCAGTTTATGGCAATGGTTTCTCAGGCGGTTTTTCAGTGAGTCATCCCTCTGGCTGAGTCACACATACTGTGAATCAAAATAGACTTCTTCTGATGTAGACAGTCATGATACAGTGCTGTACCTCCAAGAAGACTGTATCTTCAGGAAGGAAGCCCTGATTATGATCTTCCCATAATTCAGTCCCTATTTAGTCCCAGAAGTCAGGAGCAATTTCTTAGTTTTCCTGGTTCCTGCCCACACTGAGCTATCCGTGGTCCTACTGCTCTTTCTGCCAACCGCTAATCCAGTCCTCTCCCTTCCAACTCCAGATAGCAACTGACTGCTGTTCTGTTCTGCAGCAATTTTTATATAGCCCTGCTGGGCCCTGATTGGCTGCTCCAGCAGCCCCTCTGATTGGTTACTTCCCTTCAACTACTCTACGCTCCTTGGAAGACTACTTTTCAGCTCCTCTCTAGAGTAGAATGTTGCAAAACTCCTAGGCCTCCAGCAGAGGGGCTTCTGGGCCTAATCCTCCCCATCACAGTCCCTGACCCTATAAGCCTGCAACCAAAATAAGATTTGACATAACCCAGGAAAGGACTATTTGAGGCATAGTGTTTACAGAAACTAAATTGGGGTGGGGTGTTCATATTTGTTCCTGGTCATACTGTGTTGATTTGTAGAATCATAGAATCATAGAATAATAGGACTGGAAGGGACCTCGAGAGGTCATCGAGTCCAGCCCCCCGCCCTCAAGGCAGGATCAAGCTCCGTCTACACCATCCCTGACAGATGTCTATCTAACCTGTTCTTAAATATCTCCAGAGAGGGAGATTCCACCACCTCCCTTGGCAATTTATTCCAATATTTGACCACCCTGACAGTTAGGAATTTTTTCCTAATGTCCAATCTAAACCTCCCCTGCTGCACTTTAAGCCCATTACTCCTTGTCCTGTCCTCAGAAACCAAGAGGAACAAATTTTCTCCTTCCTCCTTGTGACACCCTTTTAGATATTTGAAAACCGCTATCATGTCCCCCCTTAATCTTCTTTTTTCCAAACTAAACAAGCCCAGTTCATGAAGCCTGGCTTCATAGGTCATGTTCTCTAAACCTTTAATCATTCTTGTCGCTCTTCTCTGTACCCTTTCCAATTTCTCCACATCTTTCTTGAAATGTGGTGCCCAGAACTGGACACAGTACTCCAGCTGAGGCCTAACTAGTGCAGAGTAGAGCGGCAGGATGACTTCACGAGTTTTGCTTACAACACACCTGTTGATACAACCTAGCATCATATTTGCTTTTTTTGCAACAGCATCACACTGTTGACTCATATTCACCTTGTGGTCCACTATGACCCCTAGATCCCTTTCCGCCATGCTCCTTCCTAGACAGTCGCTTCCCGTCTTGTATGTATGGAACTGATTGTTCCTTCCTAAGTGGAGCACTTTGCATTTCTCTTTATTAAACTTCATCCTGTTTACCTCTGACCATTTCTCTAACTTGCTAAGGTCATTTTGAATTATGTCCCTATCCTCCAAAGAAGTTGCAACCCCACCCAGTTTGGTATCATCTGCAAACTTACTAAGCGTACTCTCTATCCCAATATCTACATCATTGATGAAGATATTGAACAGTACGGGTCCCAAAAGAGACCCTTGAGGAACTCCACTTGTTATCCCTTTCCAGCAGGATGCGGACGCATTGGAGAGGGTCCAGCAGAGGACAACCAAAATGTTTAGGGGGCTGGAGCATATGACTTATGAGGAGAGGCTGAGGGACTTGGGTCTGTTTAGTCTGCAGAAGCGAAGAGTGAGGGGGGGATTTGATAGCAGCCTTCAACTTCCTGAAGGAAGGTTCCAAAGAGGATGAGGAAAGGCTATTCTCAGTAGTGACAGGTGGCAGAACAAGGAGCAATGATCTCAAGTTGTGGTGGGAGAGATCCAGGTTGGATATTAGGAAAAACTATTTCACTAGGAGGGTGGTGAAGCCCTGGAATGGGTTACCTAGGGAAGTAGTGGAGTCTCCATCCCTAGAGGTGTTTAAGTCTCGGCTTGACAAAGCCCTGGCTGGGTTGATTTAGTTGGAATTGGTCCTGCGTAGAGCAGGGGGCTGGACTTGATGACCTTCTGAGGTCTGTTCTAGTTCTATGATTCTATGAAGGGATCAGGCCTATGCCAGGAGAGGGGTTTTTCCTTCTTCAGGGGGTGGCTTGAAGCTGGTTTAAGGCCGGAAGCCTGGTGTTGGCTGAGGTTGCAGAGGTGTGCTCAATGAGGCAGTTCCTTAGACGCCTGGGGTCAGAGCTCTTCAGCAGACGCATTCTGTGTTCTTTGGATTCTGGAATTGGGTCCGGGATGCTCCGGTGGCTTGGATCTTGGCGGGTCCCGACTCCACTTGCCTCGCATGCTCCTGCTGGGGTCAGGCCAGGAAAAGCTTTTGTAGAAGTTCTCTTCAGACTTTCTGGGTGGAGGGCGGGTGTAGGCAGTCCCCCTCCTGACCGCTCTGATGTCCAGCTCCTCGGCTTCCTGAGCCGCATTCCAGTGCCACACGCAGGGCGAATGGGCTCTGGGACTCAAAACCACGTCGCAATAGCCCCCCTTTCTCAGAACTCCTTTCTCAGACCTGTCAGCCAGCCTGGTCTAAGTCTGTACCCTGCACTTCATTGATCACCTTGTAATCTGACTCCTACAGCACTGAGCCAAGCGCCTGGCAGAAGCGTTCCAAGCAGACCCCTTCTACGCCGTCCCTGTAGCCCCCCGCCTAGCGCCCTGCTGTGCATGCGCACGAGGGCATAACTCTCCTTTCTCTGCCTAGGAAGGCGATCGAAGGGTTGGTGGCACTCAGCGAAGATGGCTGCTCCCCCATTTCCATCCAGCAGATGGCGTATGGTATGTGCCATAGTGCGGGAGCGGGAGGGCAGGGGTGGCTGGGACCAGGGGGAAGGATCTTGGGAAGGGAGACTTCTCACCAGGGGTCCCTCCGAATGGAGGCAAGAGCTGCGGGGTCTCTTGCAGGGCTGAGGTAGGCTGCTGGGGTTGGAAGCGCCTCAGGGCGTCTGGCTCCGACGTCCCGGGGCTCAGCAACGTGTGTTTCTGCCCCACAGTGGCTGGTCTGGGCTTCGGGCTCATGAGCGGCGCCTTTTCCATGATCAACCTCCTGGCAGATGCGCTGGGGCCAGGCACCGTGGGAATCCATGGAGACTCGCAGCTCTACTTCCTGACCTCGGGTGAGCAATGGGCCCACAGCGCCCTGCACCTTCTCCCCACAGAATTTCTATGGAGAGTAATTCCATGCTCAAAACTAAGAGTATAGCATTAGGGGTACACTACTGGCCAGCTCACCAGCATGGGGATAGTCACTGTGAAATAAAAACCTCAATCCTGGTTTCTTTTCCAGTCCACTCCACTGTTCCTTACTACGCTGCCCCCGTCCATTTCCTGCCAACTGCTCTGCCATGCTTGGCCCATGTCCACCAACACATACGCGCAGAACAAAAACAGTCCTTTGCACAGGATGGTCTGCTGAGAAACAAACTGAAAGCCCAGCCCTTTTAGGAAGCAAGAGCTGGTTGTTATGCTGGACAGACTAGAGCCATTAATTCATTTTTGAAACTAAGTGTAGGTAACATGTTTGTGATGAGATTTGATTGTAGCAGTTGGTTTTAAGTGAGACATTTAGTATTTTATTGATTTGGAAAAAATCTGATGTAAATATATCAGTTTGATTTTTTAAATCCACCCTGATCTGTACTTGTACCAGTACTATTCATCATAGTCATAAATGACCTGGGAAAAGGGGTAAGCAGTGAGGTGGCAAAATTTGCAGATGATACAAAACTACTTAAGATAGTGAAGTCCAAAGCAGACCGCAAAGAGCTACAAAAAGATCTCACCAAGCTGGGGTGACTGGGCAACGAAATATCAGATGAAATTCAGTGTTGATAAATGCAAAGTAATGCACATTAGAAAACATGATCCCAAACAATGATGGGATCTAAATTAACTATTACCATTCGAGAGAGATCTTGGTGTCATTGTACACAGTTTTTGGAAATCATGCACTCAGTGTTCAGTGGCTGTCAAAAAAGCTAACAATCTGGGAATAATTAGGAAAGAAACACTATTTTATCTTGCTGCTGTATAAATCCTTGGTATGCTCCCACCTTCCGTGATTCATGCAGTTCTGGTCACCCATCTCAAAAAAGAGATATTGGTAAAGGTTCAGAAAAGGTGAGCAAAAATTATTAGGGTATGGAACAGCTTCTGAATGAAGAAAAATTAATGAGAAATGGGACTTTTCAGCTTGGAAAAGAGATGATTAAGGGGGGAATATGATAGAGGTCTATAAAATCATGATTGGTGTAGAGAAATTAGATAAAGTGTTATTGTCTCCTTTTTACAACACAAGAATGACCGTTCATCTATTGAAATGAATAGGCAGCAGGTTTAAAACAAAAGGAAGTTTTTCTTCACTGAGCACACAGTCAACCAGTGGAACTCCTTGCCAGAGGATGTTGTGAAGGTCAGGACTGTAACAGGGTTCCAGGGAGAAAAAAATAAGTTAGAGAACAGGTCTATCAATGGCTATTAGCCAGGATGGGCAGGCCTGATGTCCCTAGCCTCTGTTTGTCAGAGGCTGGGAATTGGCGACAGGGGAGGGATCACGTGATGGTTCCCTGTTGTGTTCACTCCCTCTGGAACTGGCCATTGCTGGCCGACAGGACACTGGGCTGGGTGGAGTTTTGGTCTCACCCAGTCTGGCCCTTCTTATGCATCTCCTCACTGCCTCCCCATCCTGCACTATTCCTCCTGTTGCATCCCCTGTGTGCCATCCCTTACTGCACCTGCCTCACTGCTGCCTCATTGCACCATCTCCCCGCCCCTGCACCATCCCTCACTGCACCCCCTTCCCTGCCTCCCTGCCCCTGCACCGTCCCTCGCCGCGCACCCTTCCCTGCCTCCCCGCCCCTGCCTGCTCCCCCCCCCTCCCTCCCCCTGCCTCACTGCTGCCTCACTGCCCCATCTCCCCGCCCCTGCACCATCCCTCACTGCACCCCCTTCCCTGCCTCCCTGCCCCTGCACCGTCCCTCGCCGCGCACCCTCCCCTGCCTCCCTGCCCCTGCACCGTCCCTCGCCGCGCCCCCTTCCCTGCCTCCCCGCCCCTGCACCGTCCCTCGCTGCACCCCCTTCCCTGCCTCCCCGCCCCTGCACCGTCCCTCGCTGCACCCCCTTCCCTGCCTCCCCGCCCCTGCACCGTCCCTCGCTGCACCCCCTTCCCTGCCTCCCCGCCCCTGCACCGTCCCTCGCTGCACCCCCTTCCCTGCCTCCCCGCCCCTGCACCGTCCCTCGCTGCACCCCCTTCCCTGCCTCCCCGCCCCTGCACCGTCCCTCGCTGCACCCCCTTCCCTGCCTCCCCGCCCCTGCACCGTCCCTCGCTGCACCCCCTTCCCTGCCTCCCCGCCCCTGCACCGTCCCTCGCTGCACCCCCTTCCCTGCCTCCCCGCCCCTGCACCGTCCCTCGCTGCACCCCCTTCCCTGCCTCCCCGCCCCTGCACCGTCCCTCGCTGCACCCCCTTCCCTGCCTCCCCGCCCCTGCACCGTCCCTCGCTGCACCCCCTTCCCTGCCTCCCCGCCCCTGCACCGTCCCTCGCTGCACCCCCTTCCCTGCCTCCCCGCCCCTGCACCGTCCCTCGCTGCACCCCCTTCCCTGCCTCCCCGCCCCTGCACCGTCCCTCGCTGCACCCCCTTCCCTGCCTCCCCGCCCCTGCACCGTCCCTCGCTGCACCCCCTTCCCTGCCTCCCCGCCCCTGCACCGTCCCTCGCTGCACCCCCTTCCCTGCCTCCCCGCCCCTGCACCGTCCCTCGCTGCACCCCCTTCCCTGCCTCCCCGCCCCTGCACCGTCCCTCGCTGCACCCCCTTCCCTGCCTCCCCGCCCCTGCACCGTCCCTCGCTGCACCCCCTTCCCTGCCTCCCCGCCCCTGCACCGTCCCTCGCTGCACCCCCTTCCCTGCCTCCCCGCCCCTGCACCGTCCCTCGCTGCACCCCCTTCCCTGCCTCCCCGCCCCTGCACCGTCCCTCGCTGCACCCCCTTCCCTGCCTCCCCGCCCCTGCACCGTCCCTCGCTGCACCCCCTTCCCTGCCTCCCCGCCCCTGCACCGTCCCTCGCTGCACCCCCTTCCCTGCCTCCCCGCCCCTGCACCGTCCCTCGCTGCACCCCCTTCCCTGCCTCCCCGCCCCTGCACCGTCCCTCGCTGCACCCCCTTCCCTGCCTCCCCGCCCCTGCACCGTCCCTCGCTGCACCCCCTTCCCTGCCTCCCCGCCCCTGCACCGTCCCTCGCTGCACCCCCTTCCCTGCCTCCCCGCCCCTGCACCGTCCCTCGCTGCACCCCCTTCCCTGCCTCCCCGCCCCTGCACCGTCCCTCGCTGCACCCCCTTCCCTGCCTCCCCGCCCCTGCACCGTCCCTCGCTGCACCCCCTTCCCTGCCTCCCCGCCCCTGCACCGTCCCTCGCTGCACCCCCTTCCCTGCCTCCCCGCCCCTGCACCGTCCCTCGCTGCACCCCCTTCCCTGCCTCCCCGCCCCTGCACCGTCCCTCGCTGCACCCCCTTCCCTGCCTCCCCGCCCCTGCACCGTCCCTCGCTGCACCCCCTTCCCTGCCTCCCCGCCCCTGCACCGTCCCTCGCTGCACCCCCTTCCCTGCCTCCCCGCCCCTGCACCGTCCCTCGCTGCACCCCCTTCCCTGCCTCCCCGCCCCTGCACCGTCCCTCGCTGCACCCCCTTCCCTGCCTCCCCGCCCCTGCACCGTCCCTCGCTGCACCCCCTTCCCTGCCTCCCCGCCCCTGCACCGTCCCTCGCCGCGCACCCTTCCCTGCCTCCCCACTAACCCCCATCACAGCGAGACTCAAATCTGCTTCCAGACCTCAGATAAGCAGGAGGCCTGGCAACCACTCCTGCTCTCTCCGTGCTGCACCCTCAGTGAGCCCCTCCCCTCAATAGACATTTGCAGCTCAGCACTGGATGCAGCAGCCCGTCCCCCCCCGCTCTGCACCCAATCTGGCACCTCTGGTAAAGCTAGTTCTCCTCATGCTCTGGGTGACGGATGCCCTGGCTGCCTGGGGGCGCTGGTTGGGGTAAAGCCTCACCGCCCTGGCTGTGACTGTCTCCTTGCTCCTCCTCACAGCCTTCATGACCATGGTGGTGATTTTCCTTCACACCTTCTGGGGAATCCTCTTCTTCCATGGCTGCGAGACCCAGCGCTGGTGGGAGATGGCCGCCGTTGTCCTCACTCACCTCATCGTGTCCGGATCGGTGAGTGTGGGCGGGGGGCAGCTGCTCCCACACCGCTGTGTCACTTGGGAGGGTTGGGAAGGAGGTGGGAGTGGTGCAGGATCTGGGACCGCCAGGATATGTGCTGCACACATAGGGAGTCGTATAGCCGCCCTACCAAATTTTGTCGACAAAACTTGACAACACCCAAAAGTCGACAAAACAAAAATCACCAGAGGGTTTCACGCTTGCTCTGATGGATTGTGTCCACACTGGGGACACCATTATCAGCAGTGTGAGCAATGCTCTGTGAGTATGTATCCCATAGGGTGTGTCTACACTACAGTGCTATTGAAATAGTTCATTCGAATTAACGCATCTACACACAAAAACTATTTTGAAATAGCGTTTTGCTATTTCGAAATAGCGCATCCACACTGAGTGGACCTGAACCGAAGTTAAGGCTGGCCAGAACCAGCACCAGCAGGGCATCGGGTTAGGACTTAGTGTGTGGGGCTGCTGCCTGAGGCTAACTGAGCTCCGTGCTTAAAGGGACCCGACCCCCACCCCGGACAGACAGTTCTCAGGGTTTCCCGCTTGCTTGTCTACCTCAGTGAGGGGACAGCAAAGCAGTCCTGTCTTGGAGTGCCCTGAGTGCCCACACTCGGGACACCACAGCACCCCACCACATGGAGCCAGAGCTGCCCCTGGGCACGCCAGTGTGTCTCATGGGGTCATTACCATCAGCCTGGCTGCACTTGCTGCAGACTGCCATCTGGGCGGTCCATCGGGGGGCTGTCAGGATCCAGGAGGCCCTGAGGGAGAGCGTCCACCCCGAGGAGCCCTCAGAACCTCCCCAGTCCTCCCCACCGGGGGCTCGTGCCCCATTCCTCCCTCACGTCCTTCCACTTACCCCTCCCTCGCCCCCCTTCCTGATGTCAAATAAAAGATACGTATGTCCAAAAATAGAAACTGGGTTTATTGAACAAAACTGGGGGAGGGGGGATGAACCTCTGGGGAGACTGGGAAAAGGAGGTGGGAGAGGAGAAGAGAGAGGGTGGAAGAGGGGAGAGGGAAACTGGAAGGGGGAGGGGAAGCTCAGGGTTGGGGATCTCGCCAGACCAACTTGACTTTCATGCTAACCTGGTCCTGGCTTCGTATGTGGCCTTTGATGGCCAGGCTGGCAGCCATCCTGCCACAGACGGCCGCG